TGATTTATCTATATTAATCTTTATATCAAGTCTATGAGGTAAATATTGTTATTATCCCTATTTTACAGATGAGGGTTAGGGTCAGGGTTAATATTTGTTGTGTGTTGAAATCATGTAAAGTCTCCGCTTAATGGTATAAGCTTTTCCTGCCTCTTTATTACCTCAGCGTTTGAATCATGTTTTTCAAATCCACAATAATCTATAGTAACTTGAAACGGTAGAAACGGGGGTTCAGTGCAGAAAACAATGACCACCCCAGCAATACGAGGTGGTGGGTGTTTACCAGGTTGCTGGAAGGGCCACAAGAGTGCACTCTAGGCCGGGCTTCGGGACACCGCCACTAGAGCAGTCCACAAATATGGCATGCTGGTAGCGAGCCAAGATTGGGACACGGCACAGCCCTGGCTGCCACTGTGACCCAACATTCACAAAACTGGAGGCCAGATATGGGCATAGAGAACCCCAGTGGCTCTCCCACTGGGCTCGTAAGCAGCACCTGCCCAAGGGAGAGGACAATGGCCTCCGCCTCTCATCCACCTTCCAGATCTTGCACAGTGGTACCCGGGGCCAGAAATTAATCCACATTTGGAACACTAGCTGTAAGGGACTGGGCAATCGTTTTCAGCTTTCCATCCTCTGCAAGATAAGAAAGCACGACTGTATATGGGAACAGATGTGGAGTGAATCAGTCCACGTTATCCTCTATCGTGTTTTTAATTATTTTTTATCTACTTGATCTATCAATTTCTAAGAGAGGTGTTTTTAAATCTCATGATTTTTTTTGAAATATATTTATTTTTATTTATCTATGATAAGTCACAGAGAGAGAGAGAGGCAGAGACACAGGCAGAGGGAGAAGCAGGCTCCATGCACCGGGAGCCCGACGTGGGATTCGATCCCGGGTCTCCAGGATCGCGCCCTGGGTCAAAGGCAGGCACTAAACTGCTGCGCCACCCAGGGATCCCCTAAATCTCATGATTTTAATGGACTTGTCAACTCCTTTTTTTTTTTTCCCTTTTTTTTTTTAAGATTTTATTTATTTATTCATGAGAGACACACAGAGAGAGGCAGACACACAGGCAGGGGGAGAAGCAGGCTCCTCGCAGGCAGCCCGACATGGGACTCGATCCCGGGTCTCCAGGATCAGGCCCTGGGCTGAAGGCGGCGCTAAACTGCTGAGCCACCCGGGTTGCCCCCTTTTTTTTGTTGTTGTTGTTAACTCCTTTACTTCGCTGAGTTCTTGCTTTTATATCTCAAACACCTTTTAAGGTGCATACACATTCATTTATTTTTACCTCTTTTGGGTAGATTACAACTTTCATTTGTGCCAAATATTCTCTTCCTTCCTATCGATGTTCTTTTTTTTTTTTTTTAAGATTTTATTTATTTATTTGAGAGGGAGAGCGAGAGCACAAGCTGGGAGGAGAGGTAGAGAGAGAGGGAGAAGCAGACTCCCCGCTGAACAGGAAGCCAGATGTGGGTCTCCATTCAGGAAACCTGGGATGAGGACCTGAGCCAAAGGCAGATGCTTCACCAACTGGGCCACCCAGGCGCCCCCCTCCTTTTTTTTTTTTAAAGATTTTTACCATATATGTTCTTTTGCTTTAATTCACTTATTAGTTCATTCATTTATTATTAATAATAAACTATTACAGTAATTAGTTATTCATTTATTATTTGCTTAATTTATTAGTACCCTGCTTCCTTGTGATCAGAGTTTGCCTGGTATAATTTTTCTACCCCCACTTTTTTTTTTTAGATTTTAATTATTTATTCATGAGAGACACAGAGAGAGAGGCAGAGACATAGGCAGAGGGAGAAGCAGGCTCCATGCAGGGACCTCGATGCAGCAGTTGTTCCCAAGACCCGGGAATCATGCCCTGAGCTGAAGGCAGATGCTCAACCGCTGAGCCACCCAGGCATCCCTCTACCCTTTTATTTTTAACCTTTATGTGCAGTTCTGCTTTTCACCACACCTCTTGTACACGGCATATAGCTAGACTTTAGAATTCCCATCAGAGCATCTTTGTCTTTCATCGATGTGTTTAACCTAGTCATATGTCTGGGACTACTGATACACTTGGTCTTATTTCTACTTTGGCTGCATATCCTTTCTTATTACAAATTCCCCGCTTCCTTTTGTGTTCCTTTTTGCCTTCTTTAGGATTTATCAAATCACACTTAGTCCCTTTATTTTCCTCCAAAGATTGGAAATTAGATTTTTCTGTTTCTAATCTTTAGTAGTTATCCTTAACCTTATAACGCGCGTGCTTTAATTTCTCCCGGTCGAATGTACCCTCCCAAGACACCCCTGGATGTGGCGGCCTCTCGAAGTCCTGGTTGCAGCTGAAGTGACCACATTTCCCATGCTCCTGAGCTTCCAGCCACTTAGGCAATGGTCGGGTCCTCTAGGGCTCCTCATCCCCATCCTGCAGGGGTGTGGACAGACAGCCAGGAATGAACCGGAGCTGTGGCTACCCCAGGTGGGTATGCTTGTTTTATGAAAAGTGGACCTTTTCCAAGGCTGCCAGGGACTGCTGATGGACATACATCGTATCGGCATGACTTATCACTGTTGATGTTGACCTTGATCATGTTTGAGGAAACTCTGTTCCTCAACAGTTCTCTTAGGAAGGAAGTCACTGTGTACAGCCCACACATAAGCAGTGGGGAGCTATGAGCCACCTCCTGGAGGGTGGAATATCTACATAAATTATTTGGAATTCCATATGGGAGATCTGTCTTTTTTCAATCACTTATTTATACCATTTATCCAATCATTTATTGATATCAGTATGAACTCATGGATATTTATTTCATACTTCGGGTTGTGGCCCAACACTGCCTTATTTATTTTGTTGCTCAAACTATTCCAGCTTGGGCCACTGGGAGCTCTTCTAGCTGATTCCTGTATCTCTTTACATTTTCACATGTCCCCATTATTGGTGGTGGCAGTGGTGGTGGTGGTATATTTCCCCCTCCTTAGAGACTTTGACCTTGCTGATGTCATATGCAGCTGGGACTCAGACCTACCCCCTCCTTCACTCACCTCTGCAGCTTGCTACTGGGCCTCCGAACCCTGAGCCTTGGCCACACCTCTGATCAGGGGAGACCTCAGAGCTGCTGGACTCACAGAACTTGAGACCCTGCCCTTCCATCCCACCCCTAGCCACTGCCTTGCAGACACAATGCCCTCTCCCCTGACTGAGGCTTTCTACTGGTTTCAGCCCAGAAGCACTTTGTAACCTTAGTAACATAACTACTATCCTCAGTGTGAGAATAAACTGATTTAAAGGGAAAAAATTTTTTTCATCTCTGTCATCGTTGAAAACTACATATCGCCTCCATTCCTGAGACCTCAGATAAATGTCCTTTTGCCAGAGACTGTTTATTACTCTGCACCCTCCTATCTGGCCAGCATGGCACCAAGGTCTCTGGAGATTCCCGTTCTGGTGGCCCTGGGTGGTCACTTGACCTCACAAAGCCTCTGTTTCCTCGTCTGTAAAAGAGGAATAACAAAAGCGTTCACAGAGCCACCACGGTTGGAGCACCTGCCCTGTATATTAGGTGATCGCTTATGAAAAGGGCCTAATATGAGGCCAGCCACACATAGCAGGTGTTCAACAAATGGAAGCTGTTATCACTGTTAGTAGTGGGGATAGCCATTTGTCTCCCTCTCTCCGGCCTCTTTCTCAAATCCACCCCCTGCTCTGAAGCTCAGACATGACAATGCCACTCTTCCACCCCTAGTCTTTCCAGGATCCAGAATACGGAGACTCCCTGCCTGGGATTGAAGAGCTTTTGGGATCTTGCCCAGCTCCTGACCAGACTTCCTTCTCTGCCCAAATCCTACCAGACTATTCACTATGCCCTGAACCAGCCTCACTTCATATCTCCTTGCCTTTGCCTATGCTCTTCTTTCTGCCCACAATGCTCTTCCAGCCTTTCTCCATCTGGGGACTCCCAGGCCTGGGTTTCTCTTCTCAGTGACAGAAACCAACCAAGCAGCACAAGCAGCTGGAGCTTTTGGCTCCTTCTGGCTTCACAGCACCTCCTAGTATCCTGGTTGCTGCAGCCAGCCTGCCCTGTCCCAGCCCCTCACCCCCTCACCGGCCAGGCTGCCCCACAGCCAGGGGCCTGTTCTATTGGACAAAACGGTAAGGAGGAAAGTGCATGGACTCAGGGTCCCACAGACTTGGGTGTGACCTGCCTTTGGATCCTGGCTCTACAGTTTATCAGCTGTGTGGTCTCAAGCAAATCCCCTAACATCTTTGAGCCTCATTTTCCTTAATTATAAAATGATAATAATGTAGTTGTTTCATAGGAATGTTGTAAAGATTTAGGCCGATAATCCATGTTAAGCACTTTGCATAATGCCCAGCACACAGAAAGCGCTTAATAAACAGTCCCATTCTCTCTTCTTATTAATACCAGGCAGCCAGGAGTTTGCCTGCTCTGCCAGGCTCCACTTATTGATGGATTCAAGGCTAAAAATAGAGCTGCAGCTTTGGGGAGTAGATCCTTCCAGAGCCAGGAATTGATGCCCTTGCTACTGTGGATGGGGAAGGAGCCTGCTTCTCCCTCCAGGGATTCTCAGAGGAACACGAGTCTTGATGCCCATCTCCCATTGATTCCAGGGCAGGCATTCAGGGGCCAGACCAGCCCAGACCAATGAGCTCTCCTAGCAGGGGGTTCTGTGATCCCACGAGCCGGCTTCTAAATCCAGCCCTGCCATCCACTAGCTCTGTAACCTTGAGCAAGCAAGGTTATTCCCTCTCTGAGGGTCACGATTACTCTCTAGCCTGGGGAATTGACGACGGCAATAACCTAGCTTGTGATAATAAACACCTTGCAGGCACAGAGGCCTAAGGCCAAGGATAAGCTCTGGGACTCTGGGTCATGATGTCCCTCTCCAAGGCTCAGTTTTCATATCTCTGAAAAAGGCACAGTAGCCCTCACCTTTGAAGGCTGTTCCGAGTAGGTCATGGACAGCAGTTGCTGACAGCAGTAACATCTGATGGGAACCTGAGTTATCCAGTGGCCCGTCATCTCCTGTCAGAGGGTATGGAGAGCAAAGACGGAACTTTATTTTAGCTGTTTGTAGCTATTGATCTGCCAGCCTTGGAAAATGCAAAGAAATGCATCCAACAGAAAAACACCTCTCTCTCGCCTTGCACCGCTAACAGGCAGGCCCTGCTGGTAGATAAGCCATTTCTGTGCAATTGACTTCCCCCTGCCACCAGTTCAGTGCTCTTGGCGAGTTATTTTGTCTCCCTGGACAAGATCTGATTTAATTAAAGCAGAATCTGAATTGGTGGCAGGAGCCCCCATTTCCCCTTGTGCAGTTAGTCTTAACAGTGACGTCAAAGGACATAAATCTGGCTTCTAGGGGGCATTGAGCCAGGCTCCTTCACATATATAATGCGGGGTCGGGATGGCTCACAACCCCAAGGCCACACACCCTAGATTATTTCTCTCCTTCTTCCCTTCCTGGGACAAGTCCATTTGGGCTCTAGCCCCTTACTTATTTCTGAGTATAAGATGGATATATAATTGTATAACAATACTATTAATAAGAATATACAATCTGGGGTGCCTGGCTGGCTCGGTTGGTAGAGCACGCAACTCTTGATCTCAGGGTTGTGAGTTCGATCCCCATGTTGGGTGTAGAGACTGCTTAAAAATAAATTTTTTTAAAGAATAGAAAATAAAATTTTAAAAATACACAGTCCCATCCCAAAACACATCACCTTGCAGTCCTCAAGGAAGAAGACTCAAGGAGGGGAGGCAGTCATGTTGTTCTGCCCAGGCTGAGCATGGATGATCATGTGAGGGTGCCAGCAAACCCTTTCGGCCTGATCCCCCCAGCCGGGGTATCACCCCAGCGGTACCTAGGATAGGACATCAGGGTCTGGATTCTTCCTTTCCCAGGTTTGGTCCCAGAACTACCACTGGGGAAAATCTCTTAGCCTCTCAGTTATCTATTCCGGCCAGTTTAATTAGAAAGGGAATTTACTTAGGCATGTTAGGCTTATCGGATGATAGAGAAACAGGCTCTAGACGCAGCTTCGCAGGGGCATCTCCAAGAAGCACACTGTAAAATCGGACTGACGAGGGAGTTGCTGCCACTGTCACTGACTCCAGAACCATACTGCGTTGGCCACCACCCAGGCCAGCAAAAGGTGTACCCCATGTGCATCTGATCCCACACAGAGCTCACCGCCTACTTGGTATCTCCGATGGGTGAGTGGGATTGAAGTAAAGTGGGTCACATGCCTGCACCCTTGCTTCAAAGAAGGCAGGCTTCTGCTTTGGGAAGAAGGAACTTGAGATATAAGGAATAATCAAAATGTAGAAAGGGAATTTTTAAGAACATTGGGCAAGAGCAAACATTCAGTACATTTTCTTTCTTGTCTATTTCCCCCACCTTGAATATAAACTCCATGGGGCAGGTGTCTTGAGTGTCTTGTTTACCTCTGTGTCCCCAGCACCTGACATGGAGCCTGCTGGGAATAAACAGACAGTTTATTACAGACAGTAAAATGTGGGTTAGGAAAGAACCACCTGTACTTTGAGGCTGGCTATTGGCCAACTTACAGCCTCTCAGGGGGCTCCATGCCTGGGGCAAATCTGCTTCTCCTTATATCACACAATACATTTGATTCAACGGACCACAATTGGGTGGTGCTCATTCCTCCACAATCCTTTGCCTGATGGTGAAATTGTCTTCATCCTTTATTTCTCAGTGCTGACTCATCTCCTCCAGGAGGCTTTCCTTGATGGGCAACTCTATCACTATCACTGCTGCCATCACCACCCTGCCCCTGGGAGTTGGTTTGGTAGGATGGTTAATAACACAAGCTCTACAGTCTTAACTGGTTGATTTCAAATACTGACTTCAGCTCTTAGTAACAGTTGGAGCGTGGATAAGTCACGTTAGCAGTCTGAAGATCATTCTCCCTAACTGTAATGATTTTGAAGATCCTCCTCCTCCTGTAAGTCACAGAGCTGTTGTGAGGTTTAGATGAGATATTGTATGCAAGTTCTTGGAAAGGGGCTGGATGCAGAGAGCTAGCTCAATTGGCCGTTGCTGCAGCTGCCATTGCAATCCTCACAGTTCTAGCCCTTACTGGGACAACACTGTGATTGTTTTCTTGTCTGCATCCCCAACTTAACTGGAAATCAGGAACTGGGGTGTCCTTTACTCCTCCACTCCATACCTCTCCATGCACCTGTCATATGTACCAGGTCCTCACACGGTATTTGTTGGATAAACAATGTACTAAGTCAAAGAAATCACAAATGCAAAGACTAATAGGTAAAACACCAAAAGTTTGTGTGTTAGAAAAGTAAGTAAAATGTAAATGTCACCTGGGAATGGGGAAAATGGCAAGTGGTTAATGTCTATATTATGTAAGGATTTCATACCCACCAATGAAAAATAGGTTGCTAAGAGATATCTGTCTGGACAAAGGTCACAAGCAAGCAATTCAAATGAGGAAATAGAAGTAGTAAGTAAATATGGAAGAACATTCAACTTGCGGTAGGAAATGAAAATGAGGTACAAATGAAAGCAACAATAACATAGAATATATAATTCAATAGGAAATTATTTGTAACAGTACAAAATGTCCAGTAGCAGAAGAATGGTCACCTAAATAATGACATGTTGATTCAATGGCATGGTGTGCCACCATCAAATACTTACAAAAGTGTGGAAACTAATGCTTATAATATAGTTAGGTTTACAAGCATACTGCAAAATTGGATTTGAAGCATGATCACAAGTATGCAAAAAATTCATCTTGACTTGATGAAAGCCTGGCAGAAAATACAAGAAAATGAAAGTAGTCGCCTTGATAATGAAGAGGAACTTCACAAAATTCCCACAATACACCACACACTATGCCAAGGGCTTATTTCTACTAAACAAGAGTACAGAGAAGAGATAGAAGAGCTCACAGAAATAAAAGCAAAACCACCAAAGGAAGTAAAACAAGCTGTCAGGATTCAGGAAAATTACAATAACACAGAAATAAAAGTTAACGTGGATGTAGCGCCAAAGAGCACAGACTCTGCTGAAACACTACAGGGGACAGAGGATAGAAATGAGAACTTGAGAGAAATGGAATGAAAAGATTTTTTTAAGTTTAAATAATGAGAGAAAATGACAGAGACCATATACACGTAACAGAAAAAGTAAACCAAAAGATGGCATCAAACAAATATTTCAAGATATAATTCAAGAAAATGTCTTGAAAAAATGGAGACATTGAAAAGGTAATGAGACCCAGGAAAACTGATCCATAATGATCAATATCAAATATGTCCTAATAAAGGTATTAGATTTCAAAGTTATAAAAAAAAAAATCCTTTGGGCAGCTTAACCAAAGCAAACTAGTCACTTACAAGGGGGTGGATACCAGGCTGGCCTCTGACTTCTTCATGGCAGCATCCAGCATTCAAACTCAATAGAGCACCACCTACAAAGTCAGCAAGGAAAGAAAGTGTGACTCAAGTATTTTATTTTGAGCCAAACTGCTGATCAAGTATAAAGGCAGAAGACAACATTTTTGAACATGTGTGGGAGTTTGGAGGCTGAAGCAAAAGCACAGTCTGGATTTGTTGGAAGAACAGGACTTCCTTCCTTTCGGTAACCTAAAGTCTTAGTCAGGAGTTCATATGTGTTTATTCAACAGACACATACATAAAGACCCTAGTGTGTGTTGGGACCTGTGTCCCCAGACTATAAATGAATCTTATGCCGAGTGCTGGAGTGGGTGGAAGGCAAGTTTCCTTAATGCGGTAAGTTGGCTTTTCAAAGATAAGTGGGAGTAAGTACGCGAAGGGAAGGGTATTCCAGACAAGGAGAAAAGCAGGCAGGCAAGAACGCAAAGGACAGATACTCCAAGATAGAATTCAAGATCTCATGAAGGGTGTGTTCTGGAATGTCCAGACATCTGGAATGGGATGAGTGGGTAAATCCTAAAGACACAGAATTGGGAAAGGGTAAGAGGCCTTGAATGCTAGGCTTTTAAAAGGCTTAAACTTCATTGCACTGGGACTGTGGAATCTTGGAATGGTTGTAGCATGAAAACCACTGTTTAGTTGCAAGAAGAAAAAGATCAGAGGTTCTGTGAGGATTCAGATTTCACTATTCCCACAGCTGCTTAAGCTAGCATTCATACTTGATGATGCATATGCGAACCATTCCCTTTAAAGTCAGGAACAAAGCAAGGTTGCCCACTAATACTGCTTTTGTTCAGTGTTGCACTGGTAGTTCTGGCCAGCACAGAAAGACATGAAAAAGAAATTAAAAGCTTAAGGATTACTCTCACCATCTAAACATTGTTCATTGCTGAGTTAAGAAGTGGGCTTGTATATTTCCTTCCTTCTACATCTTTATGTTTTTCCTAGAGGTTGGTTTTTTTTTGTTTTGTTTTGTTTTGTTTTAAGTAAGTTTCACACCCAGTATAGATCCCAACTGGGGCCTGAACTCACCACCCTGAGATCAAGACCCCAGCTGAAATCAAAGTCAGACACTTAACAAACTGAGCCACCCATGTGCCCTTTTCCTGGAGTTTTTAATTGTCTCCCCTTTATTCTTGCACTACTTGCCTTTATTATTGAGGACAGAATCTTCCCAACAACTTAGGTCAATTTTCTCATCCCCATTTTATGGATAGAGAAGGAGACTGTGAGGGGTTGACAAAGACCACAGCTAGTACATGGTGGAGTTAGGACTCTTTTCTTTCTTTCTTTCTTTCTTTTTTTTTTTTTTTAAGATTTCATTTATTTATTCATGAGTGACACACAGAGAGAGAGGCAGAGACACAGGCAGAGGGAAAAGCAGACTCCATGCAGGGAGCCTGATATGGGACTTGATCCCGGGTCTCCAGGATCAAGCCCTGGGCTGAAGGCGGTGCTAAACCACTGAGCCACCAGAACTGCCTTGGAGTTAGGACTCTTTTTTTTTTTTTTTTAGTTAGAACTCTTATTGGTCTTGGTGAGATGATCCAGTCAAACCTAGGCTGGCCCTATATGAAGAGACAAAGTACATGTCGGGGAGATGGTGGTATAGTGAGGCTATGTCTCAGTTATTTGAACCTCACAAAGTTCAGAAAGAGGAGGGTAGTGTAGAAAAATCCCAAAGGGCATCTAATTATTGAAAAGTTTATGAAATGAGGCATGGAAGACTAGCCAAATTGGCCAATACTCAGCTCCCCAGGGGGGCTAAGCAACCCGTCCCCAGTGTCAGGACTTTTGCACATTCCATCCAACATCCAAGCATGTTCCAGACACACTTCTTGTGTCTGGATCCTCCTCATCCTTCAGGTCACCACATTCTTTCCCCTCCTCAGAAAGTACCCCCTCCCATACCAGTTATTCTTCATCTACTCTTCGTCTCCACTTCCCTAGATTGCTCACAGTTTTGTTACCAAGTCAGTCTCCTTCTTCTTCCCTGAGTGAGGATGCTTCTTGGAGGCTTCCTAAGACCTGGGGTTTCCATCCCACCAGATCATCAGATTGAACCATTCCTGTAGAGGTCACAGCCTAGGTGCTAGTGGACACCATCCCCAGCACCTGTAGAATTAAGAGAGATAAAGTACTTGGAATAATCTGTGTTATTTTATATCTGGAAGCAGAGGACTTCTTTTTGAGCTCAAGTGAGAACCCCTTAGGGGTTCCCTCATCTCCTTCTCCCTAAGCCCCCACATCTAATCATCTATCTATTCAGTGAATTCCTTGAATACCTCTCATGTTGCCAGGCCTGTGCCAAGCACTGTGTATACACACTGGGGCAGGTCACTCACTACACAAGGGCACTCAGTTGAGAGACAAGTGGGAGCCAAGATCCAGCCAACAGGCCAGTCACCAGACTGGACTCACAAAGCTGTGTCTGCTCAGAAGGGTGCCTTTTCCTAATTCCTTCAAAAGCACTGGATGGGCTAGAAGTAGCCCTGCATATTGATGAATTGGTACCTGCCCATGTAGAGTTACAGGTTGGGGGCGGGGAGGGACAGACAAATGATCCAACAACTAAATATGTAATTAGAATTACATTACACTCTTATTTTGCTGGTGAGGACACTTAGTTTCTGAGCAGCAAAATCAGTGGCCCAAAGCCACTGAGCTAGTAATGACAGAGCCAGGGTTCAAACTCAGGTCTCTTGGCTCCAAAGCCACAATCTGCTCTGCAGAATGAAAGAGGCATTTGGGGCACATCAGTATTCAAGGTGAGCATAGGTCCCAACCTTCATCATCTCAGTTTCTCCCTCTTCCTGACCACACAGGTGATAAACTTGGCTTTCTCTGATCCTGAAGGTCCTTCCTCTTGACCTTGCCAGCCTCTGTGGCTCAGTTCGCTTGGATACACCTGCTGCCTATTGCAGAGGCTTTAAATGAAATGACAGTTTTTACTTCCTGACTCATGTGTCTTTTGGATCCAGTCATTCATCCCAGGGTCTGGGCTGAGGACAGACCTGAGTGCTATACTCATGATTCCATTCATGAGTGGCGACTAAAGCCATCATATATCTAGGAATAAGCTGATATGAATAAAATTATAAAACTTTACTGAAGGATATTTTAAAAATGATCTGAATAAATGGAAAGACACACCATGTTCCTGGGTGGAAAAGCTCAGTATTAAAAAGATGTCAGTTCTCCCCAAAGTAATCTATAAATTTAATGTAATTTCAATAAAAATATCAAAGGTACTTTTTATGGAATTTGACAACCTGATTCTCAAGTCTAACAGGAAGAAAAAATACACAAGATTAGAAGATCCAAAAAAATTTTTTTTAGAATTTTTTATTGTAGTATAATATACATAAAATTGCCATTTTAACCATTTTTACATATAAAGTTCAGTGGCATTACTTACACTCACACTGTTGTGCAACCATCACCACCATCCATCTCCAGAACTCTTTCATCTTCCCAAACTGAAACTCTGTCCCCATTAAGCAGTAACTCCCAATTCCCTCTTTCTCCACAAGAAAAAATAATTTTAATGAATAAAAATGAGCCAGAAATAAAAATACTTATAAAAGAAGAGAATTTCTTTCTTTTCTTTCTTTCTTTTCTCTCTTCTTTTTTTCTTTCTTTCCTTCCTTCCTCCTTTCTTTCTTTTCTTCATCCTATCTTTTTTTTTTAAGGAGATGGGAATTTATTGACTACACCACAAGGGATCGGCAGGCAGGATAGCAGAAGAGAGACTGTCTGCCTATCTGTTTATCTGTCTTAAGGGTAGCATTTCAAACCCACAAGGAAAATATAAACTATGTAATCAATGGCATTTGGACAAATGGCTCTCTGATTTGAAAGATAAAAAATCTGAACTCTGCCTTACACACATACAAAGTACCGTTGATTTAAAGAACTGAATATGAAAAAACCCCATGAAAGCTTTAGAAGAAAAGTAGGAAAGGTGGATAGATTTGACTACATCTTCAGAATGACAGAGACCACAAGAGCCAAGTTGAAAGACAAGTAACAGACTGGGGAAAACAAGCCTGCCGTGAACATGCAGTAATGCCGCAAGTACATATCTCAAAAATAACAATTTTGCTCTTAGTTTTTCCACTTCCTCACGTCAATCAGAGGTTCCACTTGACCTCCAGGAGAATTAGTGCTTTTATATCGGGAATATAAAGAGAGAGAAAGAGCCAACGTTCAGATGGCATTGTTTTTTAACTTTCCAGATCATCTGCTGAAGCCCACATAAGAAACCACATTTTTGAAAGGCAGAGCCTTTGATCTGCAAGAAGCTGCTTTTGCTGAAGAAAAATGCTCTTGAAAATCAAAAGGGTAGATCCTGAAGGAAGCTGGAGATAGAGTTTATAAATTAACTATAGATTGCAAAGAGGACAGAGAAGACCCAGACCAGGTGCTACCTAGAGCAATCAATGGAGAGATGGGGCAGAGAGGGAGAAAGAGAGTCGGATCAGACATGACCTTGGAAGAGGTCAAGGGGGACTAGGATGAGGGTACCAGGCCTCCAGGGCCACAAAGGAGTCAGTGCCCAGAGATGGCCACACCCTCTAACCTCACTGGCTGGGAGCTTTGTGGGGGCTGCGCCTTTACGAGCAGATCTTCTATGGCCACTTATGTAGGTGCTCCAGGCCACTTAGGCCATTCAGCTATTCGCTCTCCATCCAGGGCCTTCACTGACAGTTGTCTGGAGTGCTCAAAAGAAGTGATGCTCACCCCTGTCCTGGGATTTTGCTGAGGAGCTCTGTCCACACTTAGTCCTACCAATGCCTCCCCTATTTAAGTGACTTAAGACTTTTACTCCTCCTCCTAAACCAGTGGGTGAGATCTTTGACATCCATAGATTAGGTGGTACTATGGAAGTGAAGACCCCTGGAAACCTGTACTTAGCTAGAACTAGATAATGGTAAAATCTACTTTGGGCTAAATAGATCCACAGCATACAAAGAACTCATAAAACAATAAAAAATAGATGAATAATCCAATAGAAAAATGAGAAAAGGATATGAAAAATAAAATTCCAGGAAGAAATATAAACTTGTAATAAGTGTATGAAAAGATGCTCAATGTGAGTTCTAATAAGGAAAATGCAGATTAAAACAATACGATGCAGGTTGCTTATCAAATGGGCAAAAATTAGGCAAATAAGGGGAGAAAGCATTGTCAGGTGCCACTGGTAGTAGTACTCATTGGTGAAGCCTTAGTATAGAGCGAGTTGCCAATGCCATAGAAATTTTATTTATTTATTTATTTATTTATTTATTTATTTATTTATTTTAATTTTTTTAAATTTATTTATGATAGTCACACACACAGAGAGAGAGATAGGCAGAGACACAGGCAGAGGGAGAAGCAGGCTCCATGCAGGGAGCCCGACGTGGGACTCGATTCCTGGTCTCCAGGATCGCGCCCTGGGCCAAAGGCAGGCGCTAAACCGCTGCACCATCCAGGGATCCCTGCCATAGAAATTTTAAATGTACACACCTTTGAACCCAGCAATTCCACTTCAACCAAAATGTCCCTCCAGGCGATGGTTGGGAAAATCACAGGTAAAGGTGTCTGCCCAACATGAGTGCAATAGAGTTGTTTCCCAATAATGTTAGAGTGAAAAATTGGGTAACAGATTGGGAGTGCAGTTGGGAGGTGCTGCCATTTAGGGAGGGTGGACATGATAGCCTTGACTGACAAAGTGATCCTTCAATTTGGGGGTGAGAAGTGATCCATGCAGACTTGGGAGAAGACATTCCAGGCATAGGAATAGCCAGTGTGAAGGCCCTGAGGCCTCAGCACCTTCAGGAAAGGTAAGCTCCCATTGTAGCGAGAGCAGAGTGATGGGCAGAGGAAAGAAGTATCTGGAAGGAGGGTGCACCACTGGGCACCTGTGGGAGGCAGGGTAGGTAGGCAGGTCACGTAGGGCCTTGTAGGCCACTGCAAAGGTGCTTTGATATTTGCTTTGACATTGGAAGCCAGCAGAAGGATTTATTATTAAAATTAAAAAGCAGAATATAAGATCAAAGTATAGGATGATATGTTTAGAAATTCGTTTTGAGAAGACTGAAAGGAAATAACCAAAATTGACCACAGCTGCTGAGTTAGAGTGACAGGATTATTCTTTTTCTTTTCCCTCTTTCCAACTTTTAATGTCTCTTTATAGCGTGTTTGTAATTAAAACCTTTTTATAAGAGTCGGTTTTTAAAACTGGCTCTTGAGGTGGAAACAAGGCTGGAGGAGGAAGGACACAAAGAGCCATGGAGGGTTTGAGGCAGACGGAAGGCCAAAATGGTGGCAGACATGAAGGGGAGCCACACTGAGGGGGGAAGATAGAGGGCTGGGAAGGATGAGTGGAGAGAGGAGAGATGGCCACCAGGATGGGGCAGGAGTGGGGGCAGAGGCCAGTCCTACTGTGGCCCTGCCAGCCCCCCCAGAGGAACCCAGGCAGCCAAGCTGCATTCCAGCATCTCAGGAGGCCCAGCAGCTGCCTGGATGATCCTAAGCAGGGAAGCAACATGAAGGAACTCCAGTGCTCACAGAGCCCCTATCTGTGAGCTATCTGTGAGCAGGAACCGGCATGGCTCCACACAAGCACTCTGAGAAGCACCTGGTCCTTCTGAGAACAAGGCAGGGGCTATACAGCACTTTCACCACAACACACACAGACACACACACAGCACAGATGGCCCTGCACTTCCACTACAACTGCACAGCAGAAATTCTGGTTCCCAGTGAGAGCCAGGGATATGTGCTGGAGGCAACCAGTAGGGCAGCAGCAGGATTCTTTTTGGAATCCGCCAAAATGCATACAGAGTCTGGTGGTGCCCCTTCCACATCCCCTTGGCCCCTGACTCAACTGGAAGCAGCTGGGAAGATAGTTTTGCGTGCCTTCCCTCCCCCACATCAACAGAGCCTATGTTCTTCTGTCTCAGGGCTCTCAGTTTCACTGGGGAAGGCCTCACAGCCCTCCAGCTGGGAACAATTTAGAAATGCGGGAAGCTGAGGCCCCCAAGGGGCAACCCTTAACAAAGGGAGCCTGGAATCTTGGATAAAC